AAAAGTTATTGGATGCGAACGGGTCAAGATTGGTGAAGGCCTTAGCGTCTGTCCCGTGGGTTAGATATATGCCTACTAAGTCAGTGCCCTAAGGGCAGGCACCTTCGAAGTCCAACTTCACCTGTTGATTGCAAACCAAGTTGTTTTTTCCTACCGCTTCCTGGGGGGGGGGGGGAAATTCCACACTGTCTACGTGCGTAGACAGCGAGGATTCCACGAATGTAGCATACGCGTTTCAACCGCTTCGTCTGCATCGTGAACGTGAATATGGTGGTTGCCGATTTGGATTTAGCGGAGGAACGACATCAAAAGGATTTAGACTGGTCGTAGCCAGGTGATAGATCTCGCCAGATATTTTGAAGCAGAATGGGCCGCTACAGTCGTTGTACCAGAGGAAGCCAACGCGTTTGCGCTGTTGTACTGCCTGACTCGAAAATTAGGAACGTTTGCGTCTTCGCCCAGCAACAGCGTTTCGAATTCCGGCCGATACTCCTATGGGTTCGAAAAGAACACCTCACCATTAAGACAATTGTGTCGAAATTTTCCTTTTTCCGCCTCGAAATGAACAGCCCAGTAGCGCACAACAGTCCACATTCATAGGACCGATATTGTTCGGAACGGCGTTGGGCGTCGCGGCCACCGCAGAAAGAGTGAGACGATGGTTTCACGCGCACCCGCGTTGGTCTCCGCGTAGCGTTAGCAGCATCACATTGGCTGCAGCTAACGCAGCTCTACTCTCTTCATTGATATCAGCATGTTGCCGACAGGAGAGTGCCGACCTGCGCTGCCTTGCCATTTCTGCGAGCGCGTCGCATCTGTCCAAGTTAGTATGCTTTTGGAATCTCTATACTATGCACATGGCACATAAACACTTTAGAAGCACAGAGCTTCCACGGTCTCTCCATTAATCGAAGAAACGTTGCCAGCGTATAACCCGAATAGACATAAGTTCCCAGGAGTACAAGCCGAATGAACGATGCACGAAATGTGCCTAGCCTATGACCTGAAAAGCGAAGGCTTTTGGGGCCCTTTGACTACTCAAACGAACCGAATCGTGTAATGCAAGCAACCCACGACTCGTAACGGCTAAAGGTTTTAGGGTCCCTCCGTCAACAAAACGAACCTTGAAAGGCTCTTAGCAAATGACCTTGAGAGATAAGAGCTAACGCAGGGGTCAGGAACTTTTATGGCATGTGAGAAATACAAAGATTGTGGTAAGAGCTTGAAAGCGATACCTTTTCAGAACAAACGTTTTTTCCTGAAGTTAATAACAGACGTGCATTCTTGGACACGAGACAAAGGAGGAACAATCATTATTCTTTGCTGGCTATTATAGTTGACTCAATGAGCCAAAACTTTCAGCCAAATTTAGCTTATGAGCCATAGGTTCCCGACCCCTGGCCTAAAAGCTGCACGAACGAAATACTTAACGCGATTAGCCTTCGACTCCGAGAGGGAAAGCCTTGTAGGCTATTCGGGAGCAATCACGAATCCTCTTTGCGCCTTTTAATGTATATTATGAATGGAACGGATGCTCTAATTGTCACTCACATTCTTTAAGCCCTCTAGCACACTTAATTGAATATTGCCGAGTAGGAGCTTCATCTGATGTATACGTTTTTTCGCGAGAAAGTTTTCAGCTTCTCTCTTACTTCCTCATCTGTTGGCTGTATTCCTTCGACGCTTGAAATCAATTGACATGTAGACATTAGATGAGTCTTCCTTGTGTTGCCCAAAAAGGAAGAATAACGTCGGACAGCTATCTGAGGGTGTTTGACAGTGGTATGAACTGAAATCATTCATAGAATGTGAATTGGAGTTGTACTTTTCCCAAAGGTACCGGTATCTTGAGTGGGAGATTTTTAAGCACTTTCAAAAGTTTTTTCTAGGAATTCTAATACAATTCTCACATCGACCGGCTGTTCAGCGCCTTGCAGATATGATGACATGTATAACGGGCACGGTGCCACACCCCACAGACATTCTGTAACCGAAAATTGGGTTTACATTACATCATCCGACTTGATCTGCACGGGGAATACAAGGAACCTCTCGCAGAGCTCCTACTGCCCGTTCCCGAAATTAAAGGGGAGGATTCCTCCGCCTTGATTTCGGGAACTCCAGCCCGGCACCAGCGCTTGCCTCTGCCTTCCCCCCTCTTCGTAGTCCGGCGCCTAGACACTCCATGGCTACGGCAATGCTCCTCGCCCCCCTCCTCCCTCCCTAAGAACATGCTATCATGCGCGCAGTCGTAGGTCGCATGCGCCATCTCTCTCCTGGGCTTGTGTGAATATCGCGGTCGCGTTCCAAGTAATCTATATGGTGCATGCATTCAAATCGTGCCATGGATTTTCGTTCACTCTTTTCAAAACTGTCCGCTTGAGTATTGTCCCAACTCAACGATAGTACGAGGTTCGATTTAACGATTAGGCTAATGCTTCGTTCAGGCTTATCGCCGAAAAAGGCTAACGTTTAGGCTAAGATGCGTGCCATGCGCGCGGATCCGTTCGGTTCGACTATTAATGCGAAGATGTTTACGTTCCAGTGCCGTGAAGCCATTTAATGTTTTAAATCTTTCTCATCAACTGAAGCACTGAAGGTATAGCGGGGTATAGCTCGTTATGGCACCACCCCCGTACTCCTTCACCACCTCGGTCCGCTATGTCACCACCCATCCTTCATTTATTTCATCAACGTAAAGTATCTGGATCTGTGCGGTTCTTGATACCATGCCGTTCCCGTTCCACTCCCAGTTCTTGGGGGAGTGGCCATATGCCGGGACGAGAACAGTGTTGCCAGATGCGTATCTTCTCTTGTCCAGCTGAGTGAGTCGTTTTTGCCGCAGTGCCGTTCACATCACCATCTTTGAGCTGATATTTTTGTAGCTCTTGCTCGTAGAAGGTTCCCTTGATCTAATGGTATTTCTGATTTTTAAACGATTGAATCTTGATTTGGTGTTGAACACCGCCTACGATAGAGACCTGTTTGAAGTATAACCTTTCACTAACGTCTGGTTCATCCTCAATATTTTTACGGCATCGACGATTTGAACAGGCTGACCGCCATGAGGCGCATGGGTGCGCCCGTGCTTCGCCTCCAAGGGATGTAAACATTTATTTTGGCCCGGGAAAATCACCAGGCCAATATGGCCGTGGCGGTCATCACGTTACATGGGGGATCATCTAGACTCTAGAGGTTTATTACCTGCCATCCCAATGGGTATTATGGGAAAATGGGAGATATGGATACAGCGGACGAACCGATCGCCATAGCAACCCGACATCTCGACTCGGGCGGAAAGCCGCGCATGAGTTGGGGTACCAGTCTGCGACTAAAACTTCCACTTCCATTCCATCCCTCGCGGATGAAGGATCAATAGTAAGCAATAGTAGTGGCGCTGCTCTTGGCCGCGTGGACAGGATTGCTTGGCGTAAGCGTAAAATGCTGTATGTGGCACTATACACCTCATACTATCCTCCCATCACCTAGCGACCCGTACGCGCGAACCATTGAGAACATTGTCTAGTTCAGGGGTTCACAACTCAAAAGACAGAGCCATTTGTGATTTGCACCGCTTTTGAGTTGAGGCAGTCTGGCTGACCATTGCTGCAGCCAACAGGGCAGGAGTCATAGTAGCACTTTCAACGCCACCAGTCAGGGCCGTATGTAGTCCCCTGGTCTAGTTGTTCGAGACTTTTCATATAAATCTATGACGTACCGATGACAGCAATTACTTATTTCGTAATTGGATAGATAGAATGTGGTAAAGAGGGCAATTCCAGTGATAGCGGGGAACGACAGAGTTAGATCTGTACCTGGAATGGTACTCTGTCTTCATCCAGATGATTGATAACCGTTATTCTTTTTTAGTACCTCAAACGCACTCGTTTTATCTTCCTTTGATTACGATTGTTATATTCGGAGTTCGACGATTTGATCAATCAATTTGTGTTGCCTAATGTAATTTTCTTTCGCATGTTGGTTTTTAGAGTTCTCTAGTACCTCTTGACGATAGCCACCTTTTTATTATTGGAATACGTATGATATTGTAGTGATAGGGATGGCTTGGAGAGGAATGATCGAATGTCCTGGGTTCAGCGGTGGAGTGGTTGCACGCCCGACCGGCAATTAAGATAGCTTATATCCAAACCCGCCTCGATCTCGGCACTCACAGGCAAGGCAGGTGAAGGCGCGTGAGAGGCCGCCGTCCCCCTGCTCGCTCTTGACGCAATTTCATCGCTGGTATCCCAACATGCAGGCAAATACATTTCAGCTTGGCACGAGTTCTATAATTGGGCGGCAGACCCTCCTCTGTAAAAGCTCATGTAACTGTAACTCAATTCTTTCGGAAGCCAAGAAATTATTTATGATGTTATCTTAGCGCTCCCAGGCCCGTGCTATTCAGCACCGTCCGGAGCCCGTGCTGATTGCACCATAAAAAGCCAAGATATTCGAACAAACTTCGTGTCATTCCGAACCGGCATATATAAATTAGCATTCAAAACTTGAGTAGGATTTTTTACTCACCCTGTAGATAGGCCACCCCTTCAAAGGCTAGATTCAATGAGCAATTTCACGGTTTGGGTCACTTTAGGATTTAGGCAAATGTCAGAAATGCAGGAAAAGTTTGAAAGTGATTTTTTATTGAAACCCCACCCTCCTCACTGGCACCACCACACGTCATGCAACGTTCTAATTTTTTTACTTCTCCGAATGGTTGAATGATTAGAAATGGAGACGCATGTGTCGGTATGTAAAAATTCTAGCGAACGCGGCCATAATGGAACAAGCATGGACCAAAGGGCCGTGACAGATGAGGCATGTGCAATCGCGTCTCGTACTCCTGCATGCAAGAGGCTAGTGCCCATATCGATGCGAGTTCACGCACCTTACCTGCCATGCACTTGAGTACCGAAATCGAGGAAGGTTTTGGTATAAGCGGCCCGTGTTCAATTCCCGGCCGTTCCGTTCCCATAGCAATATTATGTTCCTCGGTATGTATGCAGCACGTATTTTTCTAATTCCTTTATAATAGTTACTTGGTTTTATCTTTTTTCTTTTTTAAGGAATAACGAATGCCTATTTCCTAAAATCATTAATATCAATGAGAATGCATTCATAAAAGTAATTGAATTCTATTAATAGATATTGTTCAGACATTTCTACTGAATCGATCTGCCACAATTCATGAGACAATTTTTTTTTAATGAGCATTCATTCATTACTTTCAGGAGCATGTAATTCTATTGCTAGTTGTATCTGTTCGATTGTTTTAGTTTCATGCGGTTAACTGCAGGCCGTTATTGACTGTGATATCGTATCCATTTATATTATATAATGACCATTAGACAAACTGGTATCGATATCCAACTATTTTTATTACTATTATAATAACGTGCTAAATCCTGCATATATTGGTTGATTACATAGTTATGGAGTGAGTTCTATGCTCACGATTTTCTGCAAGTTCTTTATATAATTTATAATTCGGTTCATTAATGCACTTTTACCTGGTTCCTTGCTCTTAACAACCTCAACATTAATCCTATTTATAATATTTCTATAGTAAGGCAAAAAACCATTGTTCTTATGCTTAAAAAATTATTTATCGAAATTATTGCTCCTAATTCCATATTCATCTCATTATATTTCTTTCATAAAAGAAGTTTGATATAATTCTACAACTCTGTACGTTTTGCATGGGAGAGTGGTAGAATTTGGGCACCTTTTGGCTACATGTTATACCATACTGCCATTGTAGCATTAGAAGTAAGGAAGAAACAGCGTTATTCAGATGGTTGAAATGCGCATAGGCCTAAACTACTATTTTTCGTACACTACGTTACCACAGAAAGGGAAAAAGGAGATCAACTTATGCAAAATTAGGGCTGATTACGAGTGAAAAATCCCTGGACTAATTTTGGGTCTCAGAGAAGTCTAGATTTCAATTGAAATGATTTAATGTATTGCGTGCATAGCGAAAGTCTCCCTTGGGACACAGGGTTTTTTATCTATTGAATAAATTAGGAAACCGAATTGCGAATAGAAGCATCAAGCGTGAGAGTGCATGTACATATTATATTTTGCACAGCGTCCAATGTTGAAAAATCAGTGATGCACAACCAGCGGCCCGCAGTGACCCTTTTTGCAGCCCCTTGGATGCCTCCGGTCTCTAAAGATCCATATTTATATGCGGCCTATTTATGCTCATGTTCGAGGGTCTGCGGCCCTCCATCCCCTCACACATGAGCCGAAATCTATATTTTGGCCCTCTACGGGGGAAAGGTTGTGCACCACTGTTGTAGATGTACCAGTACTGTCGTTAAGAATGTTAGCTTCTGTCGGTTTCCTCTCAATCAGAATGGCATGAGGGAACGAGAGTGTATTCGTACGTGTTAAAAAGCGGAAAAACCGTAACCCCTCCTGTTAAACATAGACGTTTCAGGTTTGTTGACAGCAAAAAAAGGAAACCTTCATAGAAACGTCCGTAAGCCCTGAGATTGTAATGGAGAGGGCATCGGCACACCGTAACCTGACATATGTGGATTTCATACCAGAGTGCCTGGAAGAAGGCGGCCTCTTCTCAACGTCCGTGTATCAACCCTTCAGGTAAGTCCCAGAAAAGTCCTCAATGAAGGGTAGTATCTTTCCCTTACTGTATCCTGTCTAGCTTTCCGATTCCTCCAGTGTCCTTATGGCAAGGGGCAACGAGTGGCTAGCAAGGAATGCCGACTGGGAAGCAGTGACGTGTGAGAGCTTGGAGTTAAAAACTTCAGATCAGGTCCGGACTGAGAGAATGATCTACTGTGAACACGGCGAGAGACGCACAGCTTACGTCAGGTACGGGAGGGAAATCACCGCAGCTTTCCCATGATTCTGGGAGAAGTGTGCACGTTTCGTGAGATTTTTGTGAGTGGAAAACCGTTCTAAGTGGGTCTTGCTCGTAGCGAGATTTGCCTAGAGGATGTAAATTGTCGGACTTTGCTTTAAAAAAGGCCTACTTGGCTCATATGTAACTGCTGCATGCCGGTTGCAGGTGTCTGAGGCTGTGGCTGAGGCGACGGAACAATCTAGACGAACCTCCTCAGCAGCTTGGCTACGTCAATTGCGTCCCCGAAGTCGTGGAACAGAAGACGTTTGGGAGTCCCAAGTTCCTGCCCCTCAGCGGTATGATCGTAAAGGTGAATGAGATGTTCCGAGCGAACCCTCTTCCAGGGAAGATCATCACCATCGAAACCCAGGTCTTTCTCCCTCTGCAACTCATAATCACAATGACGCGCCTGTTTTGCATGTTCACCTACCACCAGCCAGTGGTATATTTTCAAAATAAAAGACCAGGCACCAGTTTGTGGACGGGCGCATATTTGTGGACAGTTTTGCGTTTTTTGCCATTTCACAAAATTCCCGCCGAAAATTTATTTCCTTAAATGCTCCATATTTTGAATTTGCCTGTCAGCCACCATATAAATTATGCATACCCATCAGCATGAGTGAACTTGGACATTTTCGCTCAGTTTTAGAGATATCATTGGAAAAATTAAGAGATTCAGGGGTGCTGTTTCTTAACAGAATATAATTTCTATACATGTCTCATGCTCATATTTTTCTATTCGGCCTACGCACGTTCATAATTGTTGACAAAAACTGAAACCAGGCCGTCGACAAATTGGAACCACGTGAAAATCAACACATTCATTTAAACAGCGATTTTTGGAAAATATATTTTTTAACATTTTATTTTATGGTATGGGCATCAGGTTATGATACGTGGCCTCCCATTGAAACAAATCAAGCGGTTTCTCGGTTACGCCAACGACCGTAACGCAATTTTCAAGAGGAAAAATTCATTAACCTGTCCACAAACTGGTGCCATTACCCTACATTAAAAAATTCAGTATGAGTACAAGATGTCCCCAAGAAGTTGTTCCCGCCGACAATATGTCAAGATCCATTTCCTTCATCGAACTTTTCAACTTCATCATTCAAAGTTATTTATAAGTAGGATGAGGAATTTATTTTCAGCAGAATTTTTTTTGTATTGCACTTGAACGAATGTTGCCAGTGTAGTTCAATCAGCTGGAAGGATGAAGAAAGGAAACCCATGATTATTGAATGAGAGTTATTGACGACGAAAGCAGTTATTCAATGCAGGAAGGTTTAAACAGGAGATGAAGGTGGACTCGTATTCTGGTGACTTGGATCCAGATCGATCTTATTGGGAGGAGCGTGGAGATGCGCAGAAACTCTTCGTGTTCGTCATTCGAATCTTCTTCCAGACTGGTTTCTCTAGACACGAAACCGTTGAACGACAAGAAATCGGCATAGTCGACTTCAGTCCCACTTGTGAGAATCCCGGCGGCTTCTTCAGGTATTAATAACGTATCAACCCGAATCGAGTTTTCCTCCTATAGAGAAATATATTTGTTCATTTTGTCCAATTGAACACCCCAGTCATCCCACGTACGAGAGCTTCAGTAGCATGGTTAGAAGAATGTCGGTTTGGTGCCAGGGTCAGAGCAACATCCGAATCACCAACATTCAAAGTGTAGAATACAAACTCAAGCACGACCAATTGGATACCCAGAGGACGTGGTACACCGAGCATGGGGGTGTCAATACGTATTATGTACGGATCCTTCGAGTGGCATTCGTCCCAACCGAAGAAATCCATCTATAGAATACAAACTCAAGCACGGCCAATTGGATACCCAGAGGACGTGGTACACCGAGCATGGGGATGTCAAAACGTATTATGTACGGATCCTTCGAGTGGCATTCGTCCCAACCGAAGAAATCCATCTTCCTCCATATACTCTCACCTGTCGCACCTTTCTACCTATTCAACTCGAGCGAGGTAAGAGATCGTTTAAGCATTAATGGTTGGACATGGTGGGGTCCCAATCTCTCCTTTCTTAGTTCAGGAGAAAAAATTATGCTAAAAGTAATCGTCTACTTTTCCTGCACATGTCTGACCATGGGCAAATTTTCCTTCGAGTGAAACAATATATTTATGGCACCTTCAAACAGATATTTAAAATAAATTTGTATGGTATAAGTAACTCGACAATGTAACAGATACCGAAAATAAACAGAAAGGTAGCATAAAAGGTGGTTAATTTCAACTAATTATGATTGATTTATTTTAGGAAAGTATTCAACAATCCTCCTAAGCAACAAATGCTTCTTTTATCCATAAAAGGAGCTAAACCAAGAAATTGTTTTCCTGTTAATATTTATTCACGTACAAAGGTGGGCATGCCTTTTGACTCACCCTGTATATGCATACGTTTCTGCAATAACTTCTCAACGCTAGACCTGATTTCAATGCGGTTTCTGCAGTTCGAAGGACAAGGTAATTCTGTCTCGAAAGAACAATTTTTGCATTATTTTGCGGATGGTATCCTTCAGAAATGAAATTCCTATTCTGGGTATTCTATACAAATGCATTGGCATGTAAAAACACGCTTGCGACACCGCGTCTAATTGTCTGTTCGAATGCCAGAATTATTGTGGCATGCTGTGAACTCCAATTCGTGTAGAATTCAGGAAAATTGCTGATAATGGTCAATCGTTTAATAAGCGAGTTGTAAAACTTATGCATTATTCCGAATTCGTTTGATTCCGCTCGACAATTCAGCAAGAAATTCATTGGAGAAACTGTCAGTCGCAAGTTGATCGCCACTATCAATATAAATGTCGACTGGACACAGTATCGTAGCCGATCTGGACACCCTCTGACAGTCGAACAGAAAAGCAGACACTGTGTTGCACTATGTTTTTGGATTATAATGCATTGATATGACCAACCAGAATAGGAACTTCATATCCAAAGGATACCATCGGAAAAATAATACAACGATTCTTCATTTGATACACGTCTTTCGAATGGTGAAAACTGCATTTCGATTAGATCTAGCGTTCAGAAGTTACTAACGTTCAATGGCGGGCAGGACATTTGACTCACCCTGTTTATTCCTTTGGATTTCAAGTGCTTCGATCGTGAATTCTTCCATGGCTCCTGTATTTTCTCTAGGAGGAATGTTCAAAGCACCGGAATATGAGAGTATGTCCCAGACCAGGGATCGAGTCGCAGCCTGGATGGAACTTGTTGGGGCCACGTTGATCAGCGCTGAAACCTCCGCTATCCGATTGAACACTGGTTCGTCTTTTTGTGTCTCCTTCGGGCATTTCCCCACACGATTCGTGTTAGCAAAAGCGAAGAGCATGGTTCTAACCCAGGAAGACTGAGACGTGATTACAAATTTCATAAATCTCGGGAAATTATTCAAAATTGATAATTAACTATAGCTTAGTGCAATACTGTCTATCTTCAGTAGCACACTTTTCTAGTGCGTAATTTTATTAGGTGACACTTTTACTCTCACGATTCAAAACTCAGCGGTCAATCCCCCTTAAATCTCATGAACTTCAGTCATGTCGAAGGCCTTCTGACCATCCCATATTCAAGAAGATACGCTTCAGTCGTTGCTCATCCTTTTACTGTTATTGTCCAACATATGTTTGTATTCTTAGTTGTCACTCGTCTGACATTTCCTGCAACGGGAATCTTTTTTGAATTATATCAAATTTATTTCAACGAAGAACCGAAGATATGACTCCATCTGGAAAATTAATTTGTAAACGTTTAATGGCATTAGACCCTTGGAAGAATTCCAAGCATAAAAATGTTATCAATGAAAACGAAACTAAATTGGAATATTGGGAGATAGAAAATTGTCCTTTCCAGGTGGAGAAAGAAAGATGGGTCCTGAGGCGACATACACCTTCAACGAAACGACGCAAAGGCATCAGGGTAACACAACCCACCGACACTCCGTAACCGAACGTTGGATCTACGTCATCCGACTTTATCTGGATGGGGAATACGAGGAGCCGCCCGCAGAGCTCCTGCCACCCATACCCGAAATCAAGGAGGAGGATTCCTGCATTATAATTTGAATTTATTCCTCTCATTGGATGGATGAAAGGTCCACACGTGCAGGTGTACCATCAATAAGCATTGGTAGCTCCTGTTACCTTTCTTTAACACCTTCCCTTCGTGAAATTCAACTTGACTTGACTTTTGCATCGAGAGGAACGATTTTGGGTAAGCATCTTCCCCTCAAAACACAGAGTTGTTCTAGCGAATTCGAAGCTTCTATTCCCTGGGGTTGTGTAGAACACTATTTTTCACTTCCAATGCCCAAGTAAGTTTGCTGGTTAGATATTATCATGCACTTAGCGAATCGTCAAACCTCGTAGACGCTGGTAGCCATGGCACCTCAAATATGCACGGCTGTGCAGTACTGTACCGAAATCCCGTACATACTTATAGGCACAAGGAAACGTACACAAATCCTTTTCAGAAACCCCCAATCACTTTTGCAAGGAAGCAATATTACAACCTCATCTTGCCATCACAGGTCTAAGTTAAGGTGAAGAAAAGTCTTATGCTTGCCACCGTTGCAATTGCTGAAAAACTAAAGTTTGGTGATTGCTCATGCAGATAAAGTTTGGTAAAGGTTCATTGAATTCAGATGGTATTGATTTCTGTGGTTTGAAAAAATTTAGTGACAAGTTCATTCAATTATTGGTGGGAGCATAACTACAAAAAAATTGTCCGAAAATCTCCGATCGAGAGGACCAGTCCCCCATGTGCCACTCCCTGAAAGGAGACAGCCGAAGCGAATGAGAGACAGTTGTAGGAAAGAAAATGAGGCAATCGAGGATGTTTGCACCAACTCGGAGAGGATACACCTAGACGGAGAGCAGTCGAAGGTAGCTTTCCTGGTGAGGGGAGCCGAAACTACGGAGGGAAAGAAAAACAGTTCTAGGAGGCGAGTTAAATATCAGAAAAGACAGAAACAAGGAATTCCATTTTGGCCTAGTCAGCGTTGGCTGGCTAGGCCCAACTCCCCACGAATCCAATGCAGGAACGAGAAGAGGGAGAGAGGGACGAGAACTGCAGTACTGAAAAGATACAGGGTAGGCTTGCCTACGTTGCGGAATAACTCCTTGTGCAGGAAAGGATGAGAATCGCTTGCTCACGCCCTCCGCTCGAGAGCACTTGCTTGTTGAAGCTTACATTGTTGTCACACCTGATCGGACCTTTTCTACAGTAGTCATACAGATTGAATAAGGAATCGTTCCGGACAGGTTCCTATTAGTCCTAGGGTCCCGGCTCCCACTGCTTACGCCGGTTGATGCTCTCTCCTGGAAGAAGCACGGTTTCTCTGAGCCATGTATTGATAAGACTGACAGTGATTTGAGTCCCTGGGGTGTCTCCCAATAGAAGAATTTCATTCATCGGTTTCAATCTTCGTAACTTTTCATGTTATTACTATTACTGTTATTGTTACTAGCCATCAAGGAAATAGCTTGCACCTGATTGTTAGCTACGGGTTTGACAAATAATTTTAATGCTGTTTATATGAGTGAGGTAGAGCGAGGGGCGACCGCCCCTCCCCTCATGCGCCACTGCTGCTTACACACTTTTTTTTTTTTTTTACCCACGAGCCACCACTGATAATAGAAGTCAGATTATAATTAGCAACACCCATATACGGACACGTCGGGAACGCCCACACTAGTCTGAATCAAATGGTTGTGATTCCCCTAACATTCACTGAAGAATGTCAATGTAAAGCCGAGAAAAAGTAAAAGCGATGGAACCTTCCATCGACATGTCACCTCCTGACAGTCCTTCCGTTTAAATCATCCGCTAAAAAAAATTTCCCTAGTCTGCAGCAGAAGTCTTCAGGCGACCACTGATCGCCTGAGAGATATACTCTACGTATGTCGTGAGCCCGCGATATAAGGTCACTATTGGTCATCGCCGATTTTGGCGCTATAACGAGGGTGGCGCTCTATCGATTCGTCTAAATTCAGTACTATATAGGCCTATTGGGATATACGGCTACATGAAAAGGTCGACGACAAGCAAGGGTAGCGTTATATTGAGTGGCGGTATAACGAGAGTTGACTGTACGTAGTATTGGATGGATGACCGGTGCAGATCCTGCTTGTAATCGGTCGGCACTTAATTACTTTTGTTCCTGCCTGTTCTTTTCGTAGCGCTTCCACCATCTTGTACGAGGGTTGGATTTTTAATAGTGGCAACACTGTATGAACAACGCTCAGAGATGAAACTGCAGTGTGTGCGCAGTGTGTGTGAGACAGTGACAGGTGACGGTTGTCTGCATCAAGTTTGGTCTGTATCAAGAGAGTCAATTGACTGAGAAGTAGTAAATTTTGAAACAGTTCGTCGTTATACCGCTCTAAGCAATGTTCAAGTGAGACAGTGACAGGTGACGGTTGTCTGCATCAAGTTTGGTCTGTATCAAGAGAGTCAGTTGACTGAGAAGTAGTAAGTTTTGAAACAGTTCGTCGTGATACCGCTCTAAGCAATGTTCAACAAGCAGGAGCAGCGATCATGGATAAAAATTGAAGTTGCTCGAGGACGTAATGCTAGAGAGTGCTGGCAGGGACTTCGTGAGGCATGTGGAGAGGGCGCGTTGCCATATCGCACAGTTGCTAGATGGGTGAATAGGAGCAGCGATCATGGATAAAAATTGAAGTTGCTTGAGGACGTAATGCTAGAGAGTGCTGGCAGGGACTTCGTGAGGCATGTGGAGAGGGCGCGTTGCCATATTTCACAGTTGCTAGATGGGTGAATGCTTTCAGAAGAGGCTGCGAGAATGTGTCGGATAACCCACGCTCGGGACACCCATGCGTTGAGCAGGACTAAGTGGATCTTGTTGCTTCTCTTTTGCATGTGGATAAACGGTGGACCCTTCGAGAGCTTGCATGCGAAGTTCGTAATGCCCATAAAACCATATCAACAATTTTGAAGGAGCATCTGCACATGTGTAAAGTTGTCGCACGTTGGGTTCCCCATCATCTCACAGAGGTTCAGAAGTGGCATCGCTTTGAAGTTGCACGCATGCATTTGGAGCGATATGACCAAGAACGTGAAGCATTCACACATTGCGTTGGAAGAAACTTGGGGTCGTTCTTACGATCCGGAACTGAAGCGTCAGTCTTCTGAGTGGCGGCATTCTTCATCGCCACGTGCCAAAAAGCTTCGACAAGAGCCTAGCAACATTAAGGTCATGTTGATTGTGGCGTATGATTGGGAAGGTGTGATACTGTGTCATGCCGTACCTCAGGGTACAACAGTAAATGCTCAGTACTATGCCCATTACTTGCAACACCATCTGAGACCAGCAGTGAGACGCAAACGTCCTCAATTTTTAATGATTGGGAAGGTGTGATACTGTGTCATGCCGTGCCTCAGGGTACAACAGTAAATGCTCAGTACTATGCCCATTACTTGCAACACCATCTGAGACCAGCAGTGAGACGCAAACGTCCTCAATTTTTTATCGATAAGCCAATCATTTTGCACGACAATGCAAGTTGTCATGTTGCAGCTCCTGTCAAAGATTTATTGCGTCGCTGGGGGTGGGAGACATTAGAACACGCTCCGTATTTACCCGACATGAGTCCTTGTAACTGATTTGCTTGCAAAGCTGAAGGAACCATTGCATGGAAACCGTTACCGCAACATTGATGAAATCTTGCGAGCGATAGGGCGAGTGATTGCAGACATCAACAATAATCACTCCGCTGATGGCATTCAACGACTTCCACAAGTATGGCAGCGAGTCATTGAGTTAGGGGCGAGTATATTGAAGGCATGTATATGATAAATTAGTGCAATAAAGTTCTGTTTTCAAATGTATACACTGTTGCCATTATTAAAAATCCAACCCTCGTAAATATATATAAATATATATATATAACATTTAGAATCCACGGTGACGCGAAAAAGGATGCATCTTCTTTTCCCCCCATTAAGGGGAAGTTTTCCTTTCGTTTATCCGCTCGAAGTCTCATTTCTAGCAAGTGAATCCATAAGATTTTGCAATTGGCCTCTCGAGTCCCCGAACTGCAGCAGGATCACCATGTAGGTCAGCATGGCATTCACGCACTGAAGCCAACAACAAACTCTCAAACGTCATGAAAACATGTTCGTCATTTCTCAGAACCATTAAAACTTACGGAGACAAGAATAGACCGACGAATGAGGAAGAATCCAGCAGCTGACAGACGGATTGGAAGGTCTCGGACCGCCTTCATGAAATCGTGAAATCCTTCACAATCACGGTATCGAAATTGAAGTTTTGACAATTCATTTTCCAAGTCACAAACCTGAAAGGAAGTCTTGCGTTTGACTCAGGAGATGATGAAGCTGAAACATGGAATCGCAACTCACGGCCGAAAGCAGATAATGACAAGACTCCACCAAGGCGATGAATCGGATGAAGGCCGAAGCGAATGAGAGGCTGGTGCAGATTGTGGATGGCACGTACAGATATCCAGGTATCACCACAGTAATTACAATATAGAGCTCAGAGAAGCACGTCCAAAATGTCTCTGCCATCGTAATGACGATCGGCCATCCAAACTCTTCCATCACGGATTCAAGCAACGCCCAAATTCTGATGTATCTCTCTCTATATGAAAGTATATTGCATGTATTGATCAAGGTAGTTCGTGAGGGAGCGTGAGATGAGTGCAATCTTACCGCATTTCATGAACTGCATGCTCTAGCTTCTCTTGTGGTTGTTTCAAGTCTTCAATGATGTCTCTAATGAATGACGTGATTCGAAGTAGGAGAGCCACGAAAACGACTACGATCCCTCCTTTGCATAAAGCGGAAGGAGATTGGAATATTAATTTTACAGCCGCAATGGCGACAGCGTCGAGAATGGCCACGAGACAAAAGATGCAAAGCGGGATCGCCAGTTCCGCTACTCGTTTACGCCGGTAGCGCGGAATGGCGTCCGCCTCGGTGAGAATCTTAGCGATCCGTGAACCCCGAGAGAGAAAGAAGGCAACGACGATGCCGCTATTCACGATGCCGACAGCGTCTTGTATCATGATGATCACAAAGA